AATAATCAATTTAATCATAATATTTACCCCTTAAAGGCAATTTCAGTATAATCAAATTTAAGTTTACAACACTTTAGGAGTATTTGAGGTCTACAAGCCAATGCTGATAACTGCGGGTCAAGTTCAAAAACCAAATAGGAATTGCATTTCTCTGCCCTTAGATATTTCCAAGATCATTAACTTCTTCAAAAACATTTACTGAGCTTCTACTGCATGTTAGGAACTTCTCTAGGAGGTAAAAATCTAGCAGAAATGTAAGTGAAAATTCTCTGCTCTCTTGGAACCCAAGAGCACACACTGCACCCTGAACAAATCCTGCCCTGCTCTCCATCCATATTCTCTCTATTCTGTAGAAAGGCCGATATACATGAAGACCCAGAGGCCACTCAGCAAATTCTCCACTGCATGGTAATGACTTGACTCAACAGAGAGGGGAGCACTGGGAAGGAATTTTAAAAATAATCTACTGCTGATGTCAGCTTATGGGCAAATGGAATAGACATGTTTTGCCTATTCCTCCTGATAAACACACCTGAAAATCCTGGACAGGATTTTTAAGACAAAAATAAGAAGATACTGAAAGGTGGAGAATAAAAGGCAGGCCAGCTAGGAGCCAAGGACCTAGGAAAGTCATGGGAGTAACCTCCCTGAGTTTTCTTTTCCCACTACATGTCCTCCGTTTGGAGCAAGCCAGAAATACCAAAATGCACAGGAAGAAAAGCCCCACCAGAGTCCATCCATCTAGCCAAAGGATCACAACAATGGAATCCGAGCAAGGCAGAAAACTTTTAATTTTTCCTTAAGATTTTATTTATTTATTTGAGACAGAAACAAAGCATGAGCAGGGGCAGGAGGTGGGGGGAAGGGGCAGAGGGAGAGGGAGAAGCAGACTCCCTGATGAGCAGGGAGATTGAGTTGGGGCTCAATCCCAAGACCCTGAGATGACTTGAGCCAAAGGCTGACACTTAACCGACTGAGCCACCCAGGCACCCCTAGACAGAAAACTTTTAGTTTTTTTTTAGTTTTTAGCAGTAGAGTACTGCTTTACTTCAGTCTAATACCACAGAAAAATACTATGGCCCCATCCACGCCCACATGAGCAGAGGAAGAATGGAGAATCTAGACTTGACCTCATGAGACCATTAAGATGTGCCCTAACATCCCTGTAAGGGGAGTATCGGAGAAGGTCAAGTAGGGTGGCCAGCCACTAAAGATCACCCCATTGTAACATCAGTGGAGAACACAAGGGGAGTCTTCTCCTTCTTCTGCCCTTCTTTTTCCTACTGTGGCAGTATCAGAGGATGACAGTACGGTTAGGATTTTCACTACCACCCAGCACTAACAGAGTGATCTCCAACAAAGTAAGTGGAGACTGTAGGGGTTGCCCAACTCCAACCTACACCTAAGCAGTAATGAGAAGCACCCTTTTCATGTGTCAACAGAGACTGAGAAACCTGAAATTAGAAACCTGGATCACTACCTCAACGTGACTGTAATAAAACAGTGCCCTCTCCCCTTTCCCTCAGAGGAGCTGTGTCAAAAGAGCCATTGGAAGCTGAAGGTTTAAAGAAGATCTAGAGACTCATAACATAATACAAAAATGTCCCAGTTAAAAACAAGTCATTCATCATACCAAGAAACAGAAAAAATCTAAAGCTGAATGCCAAAAAATAAAAAAAATTATAGATGCAAACACCAAGTTAACAGAGATATTAGAATTATCTGACAGGGTATTTAAAGTAGCCATGATAAAATGCTTCAATGAGCAACAGACATACCTGAAACAAATGGAAAAATAATCCAGCAAAGAAATAGAAAATCTCACCAAACGAAAAAGGTGATATTAAGGAAAAACAAATAGAAATACTAGAACTTCTCAATAACTGAAATGAAAAGCTCAGTGAATGGGTTCAGAATAGAGTGAAAAAGACATAAGAAAGACTCAAACTGAAGATAAAATAACCCAATCTGAACAGGAAAAAAAAAGTAGATTTAAAAAAAAATGAACAGGGTCTCAAGGACTTACGTGTAATAAAAGAGCTAATATTCATGTCATCAGGGTTCCAGAAGGATAACAAAGAGAGGCTAGGACTGAAAAAATATTGTAAGAAATAGTGGCTGAAAACTTCCTAAACTTAGCAAGAGATATAAAACTATAGATTCAAAAAGCTGAGCAAAGCCTGAAAAGGATCAACCCAATAAATACACACAAAAAACTTCATAATTAAACTTCTGAAAACTAAAGACAAAAAAAAAACAAAACTTGAAATCACCTAGAAAAAAACACCACCATACTGCTAGGGAAGAAAACAATTTAAATGACCTGTTATCAGAAAACATGGATGCCAGAAGGAAGTGGGACAATATTTTTCAAATGCTAAAAGGACTCAAAATCCAGAATCTTATACTCAGTGAAAATATCCTTCAGGATGGAAGGGGAAACCAAGACATTCTCAGGTGAAAGAAAATTAAGAGAATTTGTTGCTAGCCAAGCTACTCTATAAAAACAGCCCCAAGCAGAAAAGAAACAGAAAAGAAACAAAGGAGAAAGCTTGGGATATCAGAAAGGATGAAAGACTACAGACAAAAACATGGGTAATAAAATAGACCTTCCTTTTCCTACTGAGTTTCTAGTTATATTTCATGGTTGAAGCAAAATTAAAGATATAATTCTGATATAATTCTAAACTTACATAAAAGAAATGCAAACTAAAACTATAATGAGTTGCCACTACACACCTCTGAGCATGGCTACACTAAAAACAGTGACCACACCAAATGCTGGTACTCACACACTATTGATGGGGATGTAAAATGGTATGGCTACTCTTATAACAGCTGGCCATTTATTAGAAAACCAAACAGCAACTACCATATGACCCAGCAATTGTATTTCTGAGCATTTATCTCATTGAAATAAAGACTTATGTTCACACAGATACCTGTACATGCATGTCTATAGTAGCTTTCTTCATAATAAAAATGCTGGCAACAACAACCCAAATGTCCATGGTGCATTCATGATGTGGAATACTATTTTGCCACATGAATTAGAATTAGGGAATGTGTCAATCCTAAGAAGTCACAAACTAGGTGATTTTATTGACATAATATTCTGGAAATGACCAAATTCTAAAAATAGAGAGCAGATTAATGATTTTTAAGAGTTAAGGACAGTAAGGAAATGCAAACAGAGTGGGTGTGGCTATACAAAGGCAACATGAGGGGTCCTTGAAGTGATGAAAGTATTCTGTATCTTGACTGTAAAATGTCAGCACCTATTTGTTACATTATATTGGAAGATGTCACCAATGGGGAACCTGGATAAAGGATACATGGGCTCTCTTTGTATTATTCTTACAACTGCGTGTTAATCTACAATGATGCCAAATAAAAAGTTTAAGTGAAAAAATTATGTACTTGCAGAAATTTGATTAGAAAACATGAACGTAAGGCTGGAACTACAAAACTGTCAGTTTGTACCCACCATAATAAAAATCAGATCAGGCAAGATCAAGATGCTAAGTTTACTGGGAAATGTTAATGAAGAGCAGGATATCTTCACTGTCTTAAAGTGTCTCTTCACAGACTGACTATCATTTGCAAGTCAGGGGGAAAAAAGACAACTACATATTGGAGAAACCAGGAAACACCTTGACTGTGTGATCAAAATTATCATCAAAAATGAATCTCAGATGGCTACCGTGTACCTGAGAAGGACACAGCATCCCTGATGTGGTACTCCAGCTGAGAATGAAAACTCAATCTAACCATGAGAAACAGCAACAAAAAACAACAAAAAATGCTCTATTACAAAAAAAAAGGGGGGGGGAACTGTGCTGTTAAAAAATGTCAGTGTTATAAAAAACAAAGGGCATGGAAATGTTTCAGACTAAGGGAGGCTGAGGAAACAAGGCAAAGAAAAGTAATACCTGATTCTGGACTGGCTTTTGAGAAGACAGGGTCGGGGATGGATTCTATAAAGGATACTACTGAATAACTGACAAAATTGAAAAATGCACAGGGGCACCTGGTCAGGGAGGTGGGGGGGCTCAGTTGTTTAAGTGTCTGACTCTTGATTTCAGTTCAGGTCATGATCTTAGGGTCTTGAGATCAAGCCCCACTTCGGGTTGTGAACTCAACGCCAAGTGGGCTTGAGAGTCTCTCTTCCTCTCCCTTGGCCCCTCCCCCCTTGCTCTCTCTAAATAAATAAATAGTATCTTTTAAATAAATTGGAAAATGCACTGTAAGTTAAGGAATTATAGCCATCTAAATTTGTAAAGTTGATAACAGTACCATGATGTGGTAAGAGGATATCACTATTAGGAAACGTACATTGATATATCTAGGGATAAAGGACCACAGCTACATATGCAAGTTACCCCAAATTATTTATTATTTAAATAAAGTAATTATTTACACAAATATAGGTATATACAGAATTATTTACATATTTATACACATGTATATATATTAGAAAAAGAGAAGGAGAGGGAGAGAGAGAGAACAGATGACAAAGCAAATTGGCTAGTGTTAAAGTAGGTAAACCTGGGTAAACTATATGTGATTTTTCTTCATACTATTTTTATTATTGCAAATTTTGTAAATTTGAAACTGTTCTGAAACAGTAAAATAATAATCTAAAACTGAAGAGAAAACACTGCTCTATTTCCAATCTTGTTTCAAGGGGAGGCAACAAAACAATTCCGCTTCAATTGTAGGTAATAGAGCACACACACTAAACACAAATTATAGGGAACAGGAGCCATTTCAGGTACTTTGGATCTATAGATTCCAACTATGTCACAGAACTTCATATCTGTCCCTGTATTCATCTGTTTTCCTCTGTGTTATCTTCATCCTTTCAGATACTTACAACCCCTGTGGTAACAAAGGAAGTGCCCACTGCCTCCTAGATTTAAGTGATCCTTACAGCTAGTGATCTCAATAAAGAGATTCAGCATGTCTCCTAATAATTTCAGAAAAAAATTAAAATTAAAATGCATCTGACAGACATGCAGCAGTTACTGTCTGCTGCTTCAGTTTCCACTAGAGATGCAAGAAAAAAAAAGTGGCCTCACACTTTATTTCTGATTGTGGCAGCCAAGATTGAATGGGGGAATTCAGGAAGAAAAATTTTTGTAATTAAAATTTAAAAAGCAAATAAACTAGGGGTGATTGAGTGGTTCAATCAGTTAGCATCTGACTCTTGATCTCAGCTCAGGTCTTTGATCTCAGGTCATGAGTTCAAGCCCTGCGTTGGGCTCCACGCTGGGTGTGGAGCCTACTTAAAAAAAAAAAAAAAGCAAACAAACTAGTCTCTATGTTTTCAATGGTTTTGCTCTGATTGAACACCCAGGACTAATCACCATGGGCAGTGTGGTTTGGTGAGTTGATTGGCTGGGCCTGACTCACATAAATACCTATAAGCCATGGGAGCAGGGCTGCCATCCAAACCACATGACTGAGGGGTGGAAGAGTTGTTCCTAAAAGAAAATAAGGAATTCAGTTATTATGTAAGAATAGGCAAAATATAAAAACAAGAAAACCCCATGACCACCATCCGAAGAGCTTTATTACTCTATCAAACTCCAAGATCCCCTACCTCTTAACACCTTTCCTCATAGCAGTGCCTTTTGTAAGGTCTGAGGAAGAAGCTTTGTGTTACAAGGCTGCCCACAGCAAGAGCTGTGGTCTACTTACATGTTCCATAAAGACCGGCTCTGTGAACACAGTAGCCTGGAGGAGTTAGCACTGCAGGAGCTGAGGAGTAGGCCAGCATTAACTCCATAGGCAGAGTCCTGAATAGTTCTTCACAGTGAAATTTATGACATTCATGAATCCACAAGCAGTCTGAGATTTTTCCTCTTAAATTGGCAATCTATAAAAGCAAAGTTTCTGGATGAGATCCTGTAGGTAATTTATTTCAATCGAAAGTTGTATTGATTTTAACATGTACCTATAGTACACTTATCACATGATGAATGTATAATATATGAATATTTAATCAGCATTCAAAATACACTGAAACTATCAAATATTCATGAATAAATATTCATAGGCTACCAGAAAAATAGAACATATTTGCCAAGAAAGGTGATACTCTTTGTTCGGGGGACTGTAATGTTCATCTCAATACTGCAAGGATAAAAACTTAATTAAAAAACTTTTTGAACTTAATCTTAACATAACACTTTGTCAGTTAAAAAATGTTTAAAAAAATTCTTATAGAGTGTATTATTTATTGGCAACAAGGCCAAAGACCTGGTTTTGAGCTAACTAGTAAAATTATTTTCCAAAGGAGGAGTTAGTAAAATAGTTTTTTGAAGGAAGAACCACAAACTCTAATCAGCAATGTAATAATGTGTTTCTTATTCTTTCCATAAAACAGCATTTAAAAATAAAACATTCATCCAAATGTCAGAGATCCATGATAAAAGACACTGGCTTTACAATCACGATTGTCCAAATATAAGATAATAATTTAGGTCATGGTCCATCTAGAATAAGGAAAACAAAATTATTCCCATCTCCAACTAAAGTCTTTTTGTTCCAAATGTTTCATATGACAGTCCCCAAAATGGCAGTTCTAAGTGGTAAGAACACAAACATAATAAAATGAAAATTATATAATTAAAAATAAAAGTAAGGGCAAATTCACACACCTTACAAATGCAACATTTATTTTACCTCTTTCTATAACCACAAAATTAAAGTCTATACTCCTGCCCTCCTTTCTCCATTTTAGCCAAACTCTGGGACCGCAAAGAGGAATATCTGAGAGAAGTTTGGCAAAAATGACCAAACTTTAACATTTTTCTAACCAGTTCCCTTACAGGACACTTATATTTTGCTTGCCACTTCTTTCTAACTCTCTGCAAGACTTCTGAAAGATAATACTAATCACTTCTCAGAATGGTGATATAGATGAAAAGAGAAGGTAATGAAGTCTGAGAGATGCAATTTGGCACAAATGAAATGGTAGGATGAAATAATTTCAATTCAATATTTTCCTACACTTGTCACTTAAATGCCATCTTCAAAGCTCCTTGTAGCTAAAGAATCCATTTGTTTAAGCAAAAGATACTGAGGGGCACCTGAGGGAACTCAGTCGGTTGAGGGTCTGGCTCTTGATTTCAGCTCAGGTCATGATCTCAGGGTCATGGGATTGAGTTCTGCATGGAGCTCTGTGCTCAGTGCACAGTCTCCTTGTCCCTCTCCCTCTGCTTCTGCCCTCCCCTCTCTCTCAAATAAATAAATCTTAAAAAAAAAAAAAAAAAGATAATGGGCTACTCAATGCAGAAACAAGCACTGATAATTACAGGAAGGGTTACCGTCCACACACTAGAGTTAGGTGACTGATGAGGTGGACTGCCACACTCTCATTGGGAATCAGAATGTTGGTAATTATCTTGGCCAAATAAATAGTCTGATTCCCTCAGGGATCGTGACTGAAGAACAGAGAACACTGGATAGGCAAACACAGCAAGAGGAAAGAAGACATTGAGAAACAAGTGAAAGGTGAGAATGAGATTTGCTAACCCACAGGGAATGACTGAGAAGGAAGAGGCATGGATGGTAAGGAACTGTGGACAGATGGAATGGTATATTCAAAAGCCATGGAGCTCCTTAGCTTGCTTCAGAAACTTAACAGTAATTAGAATTTGTGTAGGCACAAACTGAAGGACAGAGTTTCAGTAGTTCCTTCTTTTATTCAAGACCTCTGAATCGTGACTTCCTATAGGACCAGTTCTTGGCTTACTTTTCTTTACCGTCCATAATCTTTTCCTAGTGATTCATTTTGTCTCAGGGCTTTAAGCTTATCCTTTCACTAAGACTTTTCAAATATAGATCTCCATCCCAGATTTCTCTTCTGAGCTCTAAACTCAAATCTTCCCCTGCCTATCTGACCTCTCCATTTGGATGTCACACTGGCATCTCAAGTTGAAAATGTCAAAAATGGAATCTATGACTCCCTCTCCAAAAAAAAAAAAAAAAAAAAATAATAATAATAATAATATCACCTCTTAACAGTAACACCAGAAGTCTAGAAGGCATTTCCTTGCTTCTCCCTTTCCCTTGCTCCCACATTCACTGTCATGCTTTATCTGCAATTCATCTACTTTTCACCATCTACTCTTCCACCAGCTTAGGTCAAAGCTACTGCCATCACCTGGGACACCAGAATAGCCTAAGTGATCTCTCTAGTTTCCTTCTTACCTCCATACTCCATTCGTATATCCCACAGTATCCAGTGTTATAATTTGAGAGATAATAATAGTTACTACCACCATCAGTAACATGTATATAGGGTTTTAAATATCTGTACACTTTCCACACGTTAACTCATGTTAAATTACCCTAACCCATATCATGCCCCTGAGTACAACTCTTCCATGTATTATGGCACTTAGAATAAACATAAAAGTAAATAAATGCCCCTTCAAAATCCTACATGAAGAAGCCAGTGCCTGCTTCTCCAGTCTCAAATCAACAAGCCTTTTCTTCCTATTCTCAATTTATGCAAGTTTCTCAATTTTCAGAACCTGCCAAGTTCTTCCAGACACAGTTCTCTGTGTCCTATATTTCCTCTGCTGGAAGCCTTTTCCCCAGACTCCTTGCTTTACTGGGTTTTTTGCAATCCTTTAGGGTCTAGCTTCATTACTACCTCCTTCTACAAGAATACCCTGACCACTCCCCCTGAAATAGCCTTCATTTACTCTCAGTCACATAACCTAGTTTACTTATTTCATGGTTCAAGTCATAATCAATACCATTTCCACTATATAAACATATGTTTAATTTGTGTCTCCCACACTAAAATGCACATTCTGTGAATGCAGAATTCCGTCCTGTTTTTACTTGTCCGCCTGGGTTTTTAGCATAATCCCTGTCACCCAGTAGGCACTTAGTAAATATTTGTTAAGTGAATGAAGTAAATATGTTTAAGAATTGGTCAGTATAGATCAATAATAATGAATCACCCCCAAATCTCAATGGCTTAACCCAAAAATAGGTTTATTCTTAGCTCACAGAACAGTCCAAAGTAGGTCAGTGGGGTGTTAGAAACTCTATCATCTCCAACATGTATCTGCCAGTTTTTTTTAGGCAATGACATCCAGTTGGCAGATGGGAAAGAGAGAGGGAGAAAAAGAGAGAGAAAGAGAGAGTTAAGGTACACTTTCTCTTAAACTCTCTAGGCATAAGTGGTACATGCTATTTGATCATATTCCAACACCCAGAACTGGCCACATAGCCCCAGATGAATGCAAGGAGCTATGGAAACATCACTTAGCCCCATATCCAGGAAAAAATGATAGATGTAGCAACCATCCAGTTGTCCTCCTCTACTCGGCAACATGTTATCTGACTGCATCTGTCTGTATCCTCTAACTCCATTGAGATGTGGGTCTTCTTGATGTCAGGGACCCTTATTCTGTCCTGTACTTACCATTTAGGCCAAAAATAAATACTGTTTCTATTAAAAACTTAATACATTTCGTTGATCAATTGATCAAAATGAGCATAACAAGGGTGAACACATACTCAGCTTGCTGGCAAAAACAGATTCCTGGAATAATCAATATACCTGGTTCTAAATTACTTCCTTGAGTAAATCCTATGTGCTATGTAAAATTGAGGAAGTAAATTTGCGTGAACCTCATTTTTTTCCTGTCAAAACGTACTTATAGGGGCACCTGGATGGCTCGGTTGGCTGGGCATCTGCCTTTGGTTCAGGTCATGATCTGAGGTTCCTGGGATCAAACCCTGAGTCGTCGGGCTCCCTGATGAGCAGGGAGTCTTTCTCCCTCTAGCCCTCCCCACTGCTTGTGCTCTCTCTCTCTCTCTCAAATAAATAAAATCTTTAAAAAAAAAAAGTACTTATTACTATATCACAGCAAATTAATGGATTTTAATGACTTAAAATACATTTGTAAGTATTACATACTATGTGATGCCCAGGTATCCTTACAAGCTTAATTTAGAACCAGGACGCATAGACCCTTTAACTTTGAACAAAAGCTGAAAGACTGTATTTCTATTATTTATATAGAAAAATAGTGATTGAAGCTTGCATAAGGGTATCTTATAAATAAAATAACAAATGAAAAATTATATTTGTGTTTTA